ATGATTTACTGACTTTTCAAAAAACAACAAGTCAAAAGAAATATAAGTAAGCCTAGGATACATATTAGTGAAACATAAAGATCCAGCACTATCAATAATAACAGTTGGAAAACTAATAACTTTAGTTTGGCTTATATACGTGTATACAAGTCAGGGGGATGGGAGCATGAGTGTGCGGGGGGGGAGGTTGGGGGTTAATGGGGGGGATGAGGACACATTTGTAATACCTTAACTAATAAAAAAATTAATAACTTTAGAGATATTAATTTCATATGGTATTGGGACTTATAATTCAAGTACACAGTAAAATATTAAAGGCAATGGTGTATCTAAATAAATCATGCTACATTTATTTAAACTATAGAAGTACCTCTGTGAATGAAAAGAACTCATCACAAAGTACATTAAATAATCTATATGTCCTATAAAATGACTTGATGAAGTCAGCTATATTCCCTAACATAAATAATTTGTTTCATCTATAGTGATGTTTCAATTTTCGCTTCCATCCAAATAAAACACAAAGCTGTATATCCAGTCTTGATCTTTCCCCTAACTTCCACAGTTCCAAATGTCTCAGAGAAATCTACACCTGGATATTGTACCACTACCTGACATCACAGATCTAAAACCAAATATATCCTCTATTACATATATAATGTAGTTTCCCCTCTAAATTTCATAATTATGTTAATTACATCTTCATTATCACATTCAACCCAAGTGTTGTGGGATGATATTTTTAAATGTTTACAATTTTACTTTTCCCAAGAGTTCAATTTTCTTCATTGCCTTCTTTCTTTACTCCTTACCTACCACCTCTCCAGAAAGTAGCTAAGCCATTCTGTGCTCATTGGTCCAAATGAAAGATAAGCTTGGGTCAGACAAAGAGAGAGAGAAAAAAAAGTTGTCCTAACTTTGCCTTCCAAGGCACTTGGGGAAAACAAGAGGTCTTCTATCAGAGACAATATGATTGAATAAAATAATGAGAGCAAGGGTTCCACCTCCAATCCCATCCAGTCATTGCTCCTCCCCAGGCTAGAAAGGCTCCCCTGGATTTAAGGGAGAAGAAAAGTCAGTGAGGCCTAGGATAGAAGGGCCACACCTAAAGCGACCAAATACATTCAAAACGATGGGTCATTTTTAGTGAGGAGCATTGCTTGAATTCCCAGGAATCTCTTAGGAGTGAGTTTAGCATCAGCAGACTTTAAGAGTAGGCATATGGACAGAACCTTTCCTGGTAGTCCATAATGAAGGCTTCTCTTGGACAGTATTCATTCCTTGCTGATGACCTCACTGCTAGGATGCCTATCAATGCCTGAAGCTTTACTTGGTCCCCATCCGATTTGCTCCATGTAGACAGCCCTCTTTGCAACTTCCCTGGACCATAAGCACTGAAGAACAATAGAGCCCTGGACACTCCATGGAAGTGATGGTGATGAAGGCAAACCCTGTACTTGAAATTAGCAAGATGAGGAAAGGGGAGATAGGCAATAATAACCACTAGCCTGATTTCTTATACCACAGATGAGTTTTGCATATTTTTTAATCTTCATACAAATGGACTCATAGTGTATAATCTTGGAGCTAACTTCTGCAACTCAACTTCATGTTTGTGAACTTAATCTATTTTGTATGTGATTGTAGTACATTCATTCTTGCTATTGACTGTGATTAGATATACATTCCAATCTATTTATTCTTTCTACTACTGATGGATATTTGAGTTGTTTCCACACACCCATTACATGGGCTTACCACAGTGGCCGCATCCTTAGTCAGTAAAAACTAGTCACTCTTCCTTTACTGTATCTGTAATACCTGATCCCAGTCTTTCCATACTCACTGCTACAAAATTTAATCACATTTTTTCAATTTGATAGTCAGCTTCACAAGGAATAGTATTGTACATGTATAATCACTATATCACAGTGATCAATAACAACTTTCAATGTAGAAATAAATGCAAGTGGCACTCTGACATCTTGACTTAAAAGGCTTGAGATTTTTTTAAAGCATCCTATTTTAGATATCTCTCAGCATATGAAATATCCTTAAAATATTATCTAAATAAAAAAGAGCCTAGCATTTAAAACATACCTTTCCTCACCTTAAGCAAGGGGCTCAGAAAGAAGTGATACAGAAGTAAGAATAAAAGAAGTGTGTGCTGGTAGGATACTTAAATATAGGGCTCTATCAACTCATTGCTTTAATATCATCAGGAGAGAGAACCTAAGCTTTTAGCATAAGAACCCAGGAGAATAACAACAGCAAACAATAACATGGGGATTTATTATGCATATTACTTATATATATTAATTCCTTTAATCTTTGCAATTTTATGATGAGTTAGGTATAGGACTATCATTAGAGGTACAGATAAGGAATTTGATGCAGAGTAGTTAAACATTTTGCTCAAGGTCCTAAAGTTTGTAAAGTGGCAGAGCTAAGATTCAAATCCAGGCCATCTGGCTTGCATATTCTTGACTGGAGTAGGGTGGGGGTGGGGACTTATTTTTCCAAATTGGATAAGAATTCTCCAATTTAAACAAAAATTAAATTGAGTTATCGATCAGTATGTGTAAGTACGGATTTTAAAGATACTTTATGTGTAAATAAAGATTTTCAGCCATTAAAATTGATGAAAGGAAGCATTATAATAAAGGCAATAGAGGCCCAGTGCACAAAATTCGTGCACGAATAGGGTCCCTGGGCCTGGCCGGCAATCAGGGCTGATTGGAGCCTTCCAGCTGCCAGCTAGGGTCTTCCTTTGTTCTGTGCCACCCCCTGGTGGTTAGTGCATGTCATAGTGAGCAATAGAACTCCCAATCTGAGGAGGAAAGATGGCGACCAGCAGGAAGGCAGGGAGGGAGAGTGTGTGAGAGAGTGAGGGAGCTATAGAGGAGTGTGTGGACGTGTGTGGGTGTGTGTGTGAGTGAAATAGAGCCAGTTAGATCCTGCAGGTCTTTCAAGGGGCTGCCGATCCGGGCAGTCTTAGCTGGCAAAACCCCACTGCCACCGCAAACACTCCGGGGAGGACACCAGCAGCGCAGAGACCACGCCATCTTGAAGAACGGAACTGCTTGAGACTGGGATCCTAGCCTTGCCACCACCCAGTCTGGTCTCGGTAGCAAACCGGAACCCCACAGCTGCTCTGGTGGAAGACCTGCGACCACAGCTACAGACCCAGTGACACCAAGACTCCAGGCACCCCGGCTGCAGATTTCTGTGAGTCACAAAGCCAATCCCCCTCCCCAGCCAAACCAGGGCAGCGGCATAGAAACTGCCAGGATGTACGTAGAGCTCGGGAAGTATGTCTCAGTGCTGTGGCTGATGCAATGGTGTGAGCACACTCCACCATGACATGCTTCCTCGGCACACCAGGAAGTAACAACACCCGCCTGAACAAACTCCTAGAGCCACATGCACAGTACCCCAGCCTTTCAGCCATTGGTCGCCTGTAGCAACGTGTCTCCCTCTGATTGGTCCCCTCATGCTATATATACCCCTGTAGTTCCACAATAAAACGGATCTGCGTCACTGAACCTGGTCTCCGGAGTCGTGCATGCAGACGCCATAGCGCATTGGGGCTCCGTCGTCCTCACCCCCGAGGGACCCCCTGCTTCATCTGGCGCCCAACGTGGGGCCCCCGGAACGGCTGGACGGGTGAGCGACCCTCTACAGTAAAATGGGAAACCTACCCCCTTCAGCGAGAGCGCCACAAGCGCGCGAGCTCCATGCCTTACTGCAGAGCAGGCGAGTTAAGGTCTCTGAAAAGGAACTCCAAACTCATTGGGAATATCTATTACAGTCCGATCCGTGGTTAATCGAGGCCCCCATTTGGGACCTCTCCACTTGGGAGAAGGTCTTGAAAAGGATTCGATCCGCTGAGGTCCACGAGGAAAAATCGTTACCCCCTTCTCTGACACCCGCCATCTTAGCTATCCTGGCTAGCCTGTCCAGCGCTCCACCCGAACCGCCACTCCCAGTACCCACAGCCTTTTCAGCCACAGTGAAGGACGAGCCTCCCCCTAAGCTTCCCTTGCCACCTTACAATCCCCCGGTCTCTACCACCACTCCCTCGGCACCTGAGGGTCCCCCAGAGGCCGACCCTTGGGAAGTATCTACCACCAACAGAGCTCAGAAGGAAGCAGAACAAAACGAAACTAAAACGGGGAAGCCGCTACCTCGGCCGAAACAGTGCAGGGCAGGAAGCCAAGCGCAGGTCCCCGCAGCAGACTGCTCTGGCCCCCCTTGTTGGGGACTCGAACGATAATCCCTGGACAGGGCTATACCAATCCCAATGCCAGCAGAGGGACATGGCACGGTTCTCTTTGGGCTTAGAAACTCAGGCTTTCCCCGTCAACACTAATCCTACCGCCCCACAACCTCAGGCTTGGATACCGCCTAACCAAAAGGAGCTACTAGCCATTAGAAAGGCAGTACAGGAGGATGGGTTATCAGCCCCGTACACCCAACAGCTCCTTGAAAATTTTAGTATAAATCTTAACTGCCCTCATAATTGGAAATGCCTCTCTCGCACCATACTAGCCCCAGGGGACATGATTCAGTGGAAGGCTTTGTTTTATGAACAGTGCAAGCAACAGGCGGAAGGCAATCGAGCCGCCTTAGCAGGAAAAGCCCATAATCCACACAATGAGGCAGATGCACTACAGGGAGAAGGAGTTTTCTCTTCCCCTGCTGTCCAGGCCCAGGGGCAGGCTAGATATTTTGATCAAGTCCGCCTCTGTGCTATGCGCGCTTTCGCCCAAATAAATCCGAGGGGTAAGCCTACGCGACTGTCCAAGCTCGTACAGGGTTCCAATGAAGGGTTTTCTGAATTTTTACGTAGAGTCAGGGAAGCTGTGGACCTTAAGGTTACTCACGCCCAGGCAGCGGAAGCCCTTACCAGGGAGCTCGTCTGGGAAGGGGGCTAATACTGAGTGCCGCCAGGCAATCGCTCCAGTTAAAGCAGGCAGTATAGATGACTGGGTGCTTACCTGTCGAGATGTAGGCAGTAAGTCGGCCGCCACCCTTGCGGCAGCGCTGGCCGCTCATATCAATCTAGGAGGACAATCGGGAGGACAGAAAAGAGCATGCCATGAGTGTAAAGGGATCGGCCATTTTACGAAGGATTGCCCTAACAGGAAGAGAAAACAAGGAGGGGAAGGGAAAAAAAACCCCTCCGTTTGCCCCCGCTGTAGAAAGGGACTACACTGGCGCAGGGACTGCAGATCCAATAAGGATAAAGATGGCAATCCACTGCCCCCTTTAAACGAGAGGAGGGGCAGCTCTCAGCCCCGCCAGTAAGAGAGCAGCCGACCCAAGGGGTATATTGGACGCTACCTCTTACACAGAGCAAGGCGTTCCTTACCTTAACGGTTGAGGGAGAGAGAATAGAAGGGCTAGCAGATACTGGGGCAGACGTGTCGGTTATTCAAGAGGAGAAGCGGAGTTCCAAATGGCCGACCACTTCTGGTCTGCTAGTCCAGGGAGTCAGCGGCTACAAGAGGGCTGCCCAAGCTGCCAGGGGACTCTGCTGGGTGGACTCAGAAGAGAATACCGGGACTTTCCGCCCACTCTTCATGACTGACATCCCCCACACTTTGTGGGGCCGAGACATCCTTGAGGCGGTCAATGCAGTCATATACACCACACCGCCCCCCCAATCCTAGGGGCCACTGTTCACCCACCGGTGCCACAGCCGATAAAGTTATCATGGGACACCATCGACCCCATATGGGTAGAACAGTGGCCTTTACCGCAAGAGAAATTACTTGCCCTTAAGCAATTAGTACAGGAACAACTAGATGCTGGACATGTTGAACCCTCTCTCAGCCCTCACAATACACCAGTCTTTGTCATACAAAAGAAGGATAAAGTAAAATGGAGATTTCTACAGGACCTCAGAGCTGTAAATAGACACATGAAAAAACTAGGCCTTCTACAACCGGAACTGCCTCATCCCTCAGCTATCGCAAGGGGAGCACATATAAAAATCATAGATATTAAAGACTGCTTTTTCTCTATCCCATTGCACCTCGAGGACAGGCCCTACTTTGCCTTTTCAGTGCCCTCTACCAACTACCAACTACCGGCAGATAGATACCAATGGAAGGTACTCCCCCAGGGCATGAAGAACAGCCCTACCATGTGCCAGGCTTACGTTGGAGTGACAACCAAACCTCTAGCCAAACAATGCTTTATCACTCATTACATGGATGATATCCTTATTGCCCATAGGGACCCTATATGGCTAGAGGCATGCTACCAAACACTTATTAGCAACCTATGAGCTCTTAACCTCCATATAGCTCCCGAAAAGGTCCAGACCATTCCTCCATACTCCTTTTTAGGATATAAAATACATGAACAAATAGTAACCATAGCTCCTCAGCTTGCAATTCCTGATACCATCTCCCTACATGCGCTACAAGAACTATGTGGCCAGATTAATTGGGTTAGGAACAGCTTATCAATCTCCACCGGGGCCCTAGGCCCCCTCTTCCAATTGCTTGAAGGAGACACAGACCCCCTTAGTACCCGCTCTCTAACCCTCAAGGCCAAAGAGGTCTTAAAAGCTGTCAACCAGGCTCTAAGGGAGATAGAGCTACACAGAATAGACTTGACCCAGCCAATCCAAGCGATAGTACTGGCCACCATTGGGACTCCTACAGGAGTACTATTTCAGGAGGGTCCTCTTTATTGGGTACACTTGGCCTACAGCCAGCTTGCTAAAGTAACGCCCCCAACAGCGGCCTACGCCCTCATAGGACGGAAGCTCAGGCAGGCTTCGCTTACCCTATATGGAAAAGAACCTGACACTCTCATACTTCCTTATACGCAGGAACAAATCTCTCATCTATTAACCACAGATCTAGAAACACAGTTACTTCTCCTAAACTACCCAGGGCAGGTAGATAATCACCTACCCAATCATAGGCTCCTCCAAACCCTCCAAAAGGTACCATTAGAGACACTAGGTCTGGTACGCCCCTCTAGTAAACCTATCCCTGGGGCACCCTGCGCCTTCACTGACGTGGGGAAGAAGTACTGTGCAGCAATAATAAAGTCCCCTAAAACTTCGACCAACCCCACTTATCTTAGATATACTTATCAAGGCTCAGCACAAGTAGGAGAACTCAGAGCTATAATATACGCCCTTCTCTAACTGTCAAAATAGTCCAGTCAATTTATTCTCAGATAGTGCTTACGCAGTGCATACGGCAAAAAATATAGGGTATTCCACCTTAAGAGTTAAAGATATCCCGCTAGATCAGAGCCTCCAACTCCTAAAGGACATCCTAGAGAACCGTAAACAGCCCTGGTATATCCAATACTTACGGTCTCATACTGGCCTACCAGGCCCACTTTCCCTAGGCAACGCAGAAGCTGACAAGCTAGTTCTTACCCTACAACCCATAGAAGAGGCCAGACTCCTACACACCAAATTTCATATGTCAGCCTCCTCTCTCCATAAGCTCTTCCCCCATCTGCCCCTAGCTCAGTGCAAGCACCTCATACGTGCTTGCCGATCCTGAGGCCCTCTACTACCCCTCGGGCCTTTACAACCCAGAGGGGCCAATCCCGGAGGACTACAGCCCAATGCCATATGGCAAGCGGATGTCATGCATGTCCCAGCATTTGGCAAATTGAAATATGTCCACACAGTCATAGATACTTGCTCAGGAGCCACGTTCGCCCAGGCCCAAACAGGGGAAAAAGCCAAACATAGCATTGCCACCTTCAAGGCTGCCTTTCTCATCCTTGGATTCCCGTGGGAGCTAAAAACTGACAATGGACCATGCTATACCAGCACTCTATTTCAAGACTTCTTAAAATCACACGACATCAAGCATACCATGGGCAGCCCCTATAACCCCCAGGGACAGGCAATTATTGAAAGACTACACAGGGAACTCAAGGCCCAACTGATTAAAGAAAAAGGGGGAGTGATAGGGAGAAATCCTCATACACTGCTAACCCAAGCCTTAACTACCCTCAATTATTTTCATTTTGATGAGCATGGATTAACCCCTATGTATAAACATTGGGGAGGACTCCGGGACATACCAACACCTCTTCCTTTGGTCCGGTGGAGAGACCCACTCACCGGAGCCTGGAAAGGCCCCAACCTGCTCGTAACCCAGGGGAGAGGGTTTGCTTGTATTTTTCCAGAAGGCAACAAAAGTCCCACGTGGATCCCCGCTCTTGACGTCAAACCCTACACCACCAGCGATGAGCCATAGATCGCCACCATCGCCCCCCGTGGAGGAAATGGAGGACCTGACCATAGAAGAGAACCAGCCCCGAGGGCGTAGATGACCTAGACACCGATGAGCCCACCCCATCACCTGGGGTGACATCAAGGCTCTACAAGACCAAGCCGCGCGCATGGCACCAGAGGGGAACCCGTCCACAGGAATATTATTCTTATTAATGTGTGCTATCATCACAGCTAATAGCACGGGGGTGCACAGATAAGAACTGTGGACTGTGATACCTCACCCTGGCGTTCTCATGCCAGTTGGTGTAGACAGTACCGTTTCCAGTGGCACGTGCCTCTGCTACTCCTTTTACCCATCTATAAGGCCACCCTTCTATCTCCTTCTGAGTAGTGACAACTCCTTTGCTTTGGCGCTAATTAGAAAGGAAGGGGGAGATGTACGTAGCTCGGGAAGTATGTCTCAGCACTGCGGCTGATGCAATGGTGTGAGCACACTCCACCATGACATGCTTCCTCGGCACACCAGGAAGTAGCAACACCCACCTGAACGAACTCCTAGAGCCATGTGCACAGTACCCCAGCCTTTCAGCCATTGGTCACCTGTAGCAACGTGTCTCCCTCTGATTGGTCCCCTCATGCTATATATACCTCTGTAGTTCCACAATAAAACGGATCTGCGTCACTGAACCTGGTCTCCAGAGTCGTGCATGCAGACACTCTAGCGCTTTGGGGCTCTGTCATCCTCACCCCCGAGGGACCCCCTGCTTCACCAGACCCCGGCTGCACAGTGGGGCTGTCTGCACACACTCAGCAGCAGCAGTAGCTCTGCCTGACTTTTAGCCTTGGTGTCGGACACGGGAAGTTTGTTTCCCATGACCAGACTCCGTGGGCAGGCAGACTGTGCTAAATTTGAGGCTGGGTGCGCATCCTTGGTGAGACTGTTTCCTGGGACCAGATCCCGTTCCCAAGCAGGGCCGGGAGACAGCGCTGAGTTTGAGTCAAAGAAGAAATTAAAAACATCCTGGAAACTAATGACAATGAAAACACAACAATTAAAAACCTATGGGATACAATGAACGCAGCCCTGAGGCGGAAGTTAATTATAGCTCTACAGGCCTACCACAAAAAACAAGAAGAAATGGTAGTAAATCATCTAACTCTACATCTCAAAGAATTAGAAAGAGAGCAACAAGAAAACCCCAGAGTGAGCAGAAGGAAGGAGATAATAAAGATTAGAGCAGAAATAAATAACATAGAGACCAAAAGAACAATACATAAAATCAATGAAACCAAGAGCTGGTTCTTTGAAAGGATAAACAAGATTGATAAACCTCTGGCCAGGCTCACCAAGAAAACAAAGAGAGAGGACCCAAATAAACAATAACAGAAATGAAAGAGGAGAAATAACAACAAAACCCACAGAAATACAAACGATTGTTAAAAAATACTATAAACAACTCTACTCCAACAAACTAGACAACCTGGAGGAAATTGACATATTCCTAGAAAAATACAACATTCCAAAGCTCAATCAGGAAGAATCTAAAAATCTCAATAAGCCAAAAACTATGGAAGAAATTGAAGCAGTCATCAAAAAGTTTCCAGCAAACAAAAGCCCAGGGCCAGAGGGCTTCAGAGGGGAGTTTTACCAAACATTCAAGGAAGAACTAAAACGTATCCTCCTCAGACTATTCCAAAAAGGTCAAGAGGAAGGAACACTTCCAAGCTCATTCTGTGAAGCCAGCATCACCCTAATACGAAAACAGGATAAAGACAACACAATGAAAGAGAATTACAGGCCAATATCCCTCATGAATATAGATGCCAAAATCCTCAACAAAATCCTAGCAAATCAGATCCAGAAGTACATCAGAAAGATCATACACCATGACCAAGTAGGATTTATCCCAGGGATGCAAGGATGGTACAATACCGTAAATCAGTAAACGTAATACATCACATAAACAAAATGAGAGAAAAAAACTACATAGTCATACCAATTGATTTGAAAAAAAGCATTTGACAAAATCCAACATGCATTTTTGATGAAAACACTCAGCAAGGTGGGAATAGAAGGATCATAACTCAACATAATAAAAGCCATATATGACAAACCCACAGCCAACATCATATTCAATGGACAAAAACTAAAACCATTTCCCCTAAGAACAGGAACAAGACAAGGATGCCAACTCTCACCACTCCTGTTTGACATAGTACTGGAAGTATTAGCCATTGAGATTAGACAGGAAGAAGAAATAAAAGGCATCCAAATTGGAAAAGAAGAAGTAAACTGTCCTTATTCGCAGATGACATGATATTGTACATAAAAAAACCCTAAAGACTCCATCAAAAAACTATTAGACTTAATAAATGAATTTGGCAATGTAGCAGGATACAAAATTAACGCCAAGAAATCTATGGCATTTCTATACACCAATAGTAAACTTACAGAAAGAGAGACTAAAAAAGCAATTCCATTTACCATCACACCAAAAAAATTTAAGATACCTAGGAATAAACTTAACTAAAGAGGTAAAAGACCTCTACTCAGAAAACTACAGAACGTTGAAAAAAGAGATACAGGAAGACATAAACAGATGGAAGAACATACCATGTTCATGGATTGGTAGAATCAACATCATTAAAATGTCCATACTACCCAAAACAATCTATAAATTCAACACACTTCTCATTAAAATACCAATGCCATATTTCACAGACATAGAACAAACTCTCCAAAAATTCATCTGGAATAAAAAAAGACCCCAAATAGCTGCAGCAATCTTGAGAAAGAAGAACAAAGTAAGTGGTATCTCAATACCAGTTATCAAGCTGTATTACAAGGCCACTGTTCTCAAAACTGCCTGGAACTGGCACAAGAACAGACATATAGATCAATGGAATAGAATAGAGAGCCCAGAAATTGACCCAAACCAATATGCTCAATTAATATTTGACAAAGGAGGCAAGAACATACAATGGAGTCAAGACAGTCTCTTCAATAAATGGTGTTGGGAAAAATGGACAGATACATGCAGAAAAATGAAACTAGACCACCACCTTACACCATACAAAAAAATAAACTCAAAATGGATAAAGGACTTAAATGTAAGACAGGAAACCATAAAAATACTAGTGGAATCCAAAGGCAACAAAATCTCAGACATATGCCGAAGCAATTTCTTCACCAATACAGCTCCTAGGGCATTGGAAACTAAAAAGAAAATAAACAAATGGTACTACATCAAAATAAAAAGCTTCTGCACTGCAAAAGAAACCATCAACAAAACAACAAGAAAGCACACTGCATGGGAGAACATATTTGCCAATGTTATCACCAATAAGGGTTTAATCTCCAACATTTATAGGGAACTCTTACAACTTAACAAAAGAAAGATAAAAAATCCAATCAATAAATGGGCAAAAGACCTAAATAGACACTTTTCAAAAGAGGACATTCAGAAAGCCAAGAGACATATGAAAAGATGCTCAAAGTCACTAATCATCTGAGAGATGCAAATCAAAAGAACAATGTGGTATCATCTCACACATGTCAGAATGGCTATCATCAACAAATCAACAAAAGTGCTGGAGAGGATGCGGAGAAAAAGGAACCCTTCTGCACTGCTGGTGGGAATGCAGACTGGTGCAGCCACTACGGAAGACAGTATGGAGTTTCCTCTAAAGTTAAAAATGGAACTCCCATTTGACCCAGTCATCCCACTTCTAGGAATATATCCCAAGAAACCAGAAACACCAATCAGAAAGAATATATGCATCCCTATGTTCATAGCAGCACAATTCAACATAGCTAAGATTTGGAAACAGCCTAAATGCCCATCAGCAGATGAATGGATTATTTAACTGTGGTACATCTACACAATGGAATACTACGCTGCTATAAAAAAGAAGGAATTCTTACCATTTGCAACAGCATGGATGGAACTGGAGAGCATTATGCTAAGTGAAAGAAGCCAGTCAATGAAAGAAAAATACCACATGAGCTCACTCATTTATGGATAATAAAGACCAATATAAACTGATAAACAAAAATAAATACGGAGGCAGAGCAGCATTGAACAGAGTGTCAAACTACAGTGGGAAGCCTGGTGAGGGTTGGGGAGGGGGTTAAGAGATCAACCGAAGGACTTGTATGCATGCATATAAGAATAACCAATGGACACAAGACATTAGGGTGTAGGGGAGGCCGGGGGAATGTCAAG